GTTTGCTATTCTTTTTGCGTGGAATTTCTTGAGCATTGCCTCAGAGACTTCATTTAGATCTTATATTAAATATCACCTCCTAGTTGAAATCACCTTGTTTAATTTATTATCATAGCATTTGCTGCTTCCTCAAATTTTATTTGTTTTTGTGCTTATTCCCTGCCTTATAATGTTTTTCTTTTTGGTTTAGTGACTGCTATATCCTTAGCTCATGGAACAGTTTTAGGTCTGTAGTAGGTGTCCAATAAGTAGTTATGAATTATCATCCAAAGCACAGATGATGTTGGCTTTAAAGAAAGGCTGCCTGTGCCTTTATTCTAAGAGGAGGAAGAGAGGGAGGAAGGATATAGTGCCTTGGATGAGGAGAGTGAGGGAATTACTAAATGATGGTTTTTTATGTCTATGAATTGGGAGATGCTATCTTCTGTCAGTAGAAGAGGGTATTAAACTAAAATAATATTAAGTTAATATGATTATTAAACTGAAATAATTAAATATTAGAGAAGGTAGAGTGCATTATATTTGTGTATCTGAGAAGTTTTCTTAGAGATACTGAGCTTATGTCAATCTCTTGTAGACCACCAGATTTCCATAGATAGAGAGGCATTGTTTCAGAAGATGTCATGAGCAGAAGAACCATACGGATAAGGTTTCAAAAGAACATGGGATGGTTTGGGAGACACCAGATATTTAATTTGACTGCTGTAGAATGGAACCTGATGGGGGTGGGGGGCAGATGGAACTGATTTTAAACACATTTAAAACACAGGCTTTAAAAAACCTTCCAAAAGCCCCTTGAAGTGGTTTGTGTGTGTGTGTATGTGTGTTTTTGTGGTGCTGCGGATTGAACCCAGGGCCTTGTGTATGCAAGGCAAGCACTCTATCAACTGAGCTATATCCCCAGTCCAGTGCATATATTAATACATAGGAATCAGCATTGTGTTATCCTGAATACTAGATATGGAAGTTTTGTGATACTTTGTACATTTTTAAAAATTTCATTCTCAGTAATTGACCATTTGGTATTATTTTTCACATTTGTAGAAATTTAGATTATGCTATAACTTGAGTTTAAAAAAACAAAACAAAACAGAATTGATGTGCCGTGTATAATAGTGTTGCTGTAACCATAATTGTTTCCTACCTTTGGGGTTTTATGAAAATATTCTAATTGTGAAAGTTTATTTTATTATGTGAGATTTTCAGACTGGATGATTAGAATTGAGACTGGATCGGTTTACAAAATTAGTGTATAGGTTTGAATTAATTTTTCTTAGCAGTGATATAACTGAGGAAATGATGAAAAATTCCATTTTTATTATCTGATAAATTCCACTAATTAATGGGTTGATTGCTAGATTTCACAGTCTACATTTTGCTTTTGCTTTGAGGGTGTAGAAACTAGTAATAATGAGATTCTTAACTCTTTGATGTCTTCTAAGCTTAAAGATGTTTCTCATGGTAGCTCTTCAAAATATGATCTCTAAATGGAAACCCAGTGTCATGTTTCTTGCATTTTGTTTGATTCATTTTTTTGTGTTTACAACAAGTAACAATTTTTTTGGGGGGGGAGGGTGGCGGCGGTATTTTCTGTGGAAAGAAGTATATCCTAAATTCCATTGCTGTAAATTAAAAAATGCTGTTTTTTTTTCCTTTGAAATGGGATTTTACAGGTGTGACATACTATTGGCTGTTGGTCAGTGATCAGGTTTACATAGTATTAATCAGAAATGAACTTCTTCTTAGGTTCACATTTAAGCTGTGGCATGTTGAAATAATCTTGATCCCAATCTGCACATCTGAATTCATTTTGTAAAATATGGCAAACAGCTGCATTTCAATTGAAAGCTGAAACACTGCAGGACATTAACCCATTGAGAAGATTACAGTAGGTTTTCAGTTCCATGTTAACTGTATTTATTAGAGAAAATTGACTTGAGTGCTTCTGCTTTTAACAGACTTTTTTAATGTCTGGAAGAAAGGAAATAAAGCATTGAAATGATAGGACTTTGATGTGAAAAGAAGTTAATGTCTAAAGAAGTTAATTATCTAAATCATCAAACAAAATATATGGGTATGGGAAATAATTATTTTAAAAAGTCTAATGAGCTATCAGCTCATCATGTCAAGAGAAATGTTATTCACCTGTTTGATTTAAAAATTAAATAACTTGACTGTAAAAGGATGATCATGGTTATTATAAACTAGGACTGGGATCCTTTACCTCTTACCAATAAATACCCTTCATGTGAAGCATTCACAGTACGGAGACAACTGAAGAAAGCTGTGTGTGTGTTTTGTGGTGCTGGGGATACAACACCAGGGCTTCCTTGCATGCTAGGCAAGCACTCTATCATTGAGCCACATCCCCAGCTCAGAGCTGTGGTCTTAATACCAGTTTACTTTATGAAATATCTCCTCTTCACAGCGGGTTGAAGCAGGGTGACTTGATTTTAAATGTAAAAGGGGCAGATTGCTCCAGCAATGTCTCAGTGAAGTTTTGGTCATAGGATAATTCTACAGAATAGCATGTATATCAAATGTGGTATGAGTGAGTCAACTTAAATCATAACTGTTTTGGAGACTGGAGTTAATATGTAATATTGAGTTTAATGTTTTCTGCTAGATGTCACTGTCAGCTTTGTGTTGGGACAACAGGGGAACATATTCTGAGGTCCTTGAGAAATGCAGGCCTTTTTTTTTTTTTTTCTCCCCACATTGTCTTATTTCTTTTGGACTGTTCGTGGAAGTCCTTAGTTTTCTACCTATTTTTGCCCAATCCTGGACTGGTGATGTCTTTTTTTTTTTTGGCCCAGATTTCAACAGGTAATGTTTCTTTTCCTGTAAGTTGTCTGGTAACATCTCCAGAATTTGACCTCTTAGATATTTTCTAATATCATATTCTTTTAAAAAATCTTTAAGAAAAATTAGAAAAAAAATTAGGCTTAAAAAAGTGATATTCTTTCTTGCATTAGATTCGTCATATATTGTGGAATTCTGGATTTTAAGTTTAATTTGAGTGGAATATTTTTCTTCTCTTTCTTTGGCCCTTGTTCTGTGCCTAGTGGTTTTGTCTGGGCCCTCAGATGAGGCCAGAAAGGTCAGTGTGCTGCTTGTCTTAGCTCTTTGTCCTGTTGCCTCTTCAGAATTGAAGCACAGAGAAATTAAGTCACTTGTCCACACTTGTGGCAAGGTAGCAGAGCTGGCAAATCAAACTTAGGCAGTCTGCCTTTGAGGCCAGACATTGATTAGATTTCTTCCATACATCCTATTTAACTTCACTTACCCTTTAGGTGAAATATGTTTTCTTTCATTATATTGAATTTGACCAGCTCAAGAGAGCCTCAGGGTAGCTACCCACTCTTGCCATTCTATAACAACTCAGGAAATACACTTGGGCAAGCTAAATCAGTGACAAGTCTAGCTTGAACTGTTTTCTTGAGATTTGCAGAACTGAAAACCATCTTCAGATGTGTAAGCCATTTGTTCCACAAACCTCCACTTGTGGGGCTGGGATTGCACCTCAGTGGTAGAGCATTAGCCTAGCATATGTGAGGCACTGGGTTCCATTCTCAGCTCTGCATATAAATAAATGAATAAAATAAAGGTCAATGAATGTCTAAAAAAAAAAAAAAAAACCCACCTGTGAAAAGGTGCTTATCAGTCTGGTGTTTCCCCATCTCCTATTTAAACTGACCCTAAATCAACCCCCTGGGCAAGATGATCCTTTAAGTTGCCATCTTCAGCTCATTTAGTTAATCCATAAGAAGGTCTTTCTCTACCACTGCCTTGTTTCCTGAATGAGTGAGTCTTTTGTCTGGTAACAATTCCAGAACTTGCTCTCTTAGACAACATTTAAAGTTCTAGGTGCTATTTTATGGTATGTTCTGATTTTTTTTTTTTTTTTGTCCCTTAGAGTCTGTTTTTATTTTAAAGAAAATTACAATATTGCAAAGTTTACATCAACTTTATATGAAATGATATTAAACTCAATTGTATAGTAGTTGAACTTTTACCTACTTTCATGACCTTTTTTTTTTTTTTTTTAATGTGGTGCTGAGGATTGAACCCAGTGCCTCGCACTTGAGTACTCTACCGCTGAGCCATAACCCCAGCCCCTCATGACTTTTGAAATGCTATTTTTTTTACTAATTCTTATTTAATGTTACTTTCATTTTTTAAAAATTTGTAGTTGTAGATAGACATAATGCCTTTATTTTATTTATTTTTATGTGGCCCTGAGGATCAAACCAGTGCCTCAAGCATGCTAGGCAAGTGCTCTGCCACTGAGCTACAGCCCTAGCCCAAATGCTACATTCATTAATTAAAATAATATACATTAGGATTGGAATCTAGTTTTCTCATTTTGCTTTTGCTTAATTTTATGGGGAAAAATCACATTTTAGATTAAATGAGTTATTTACTCATAAGATTATAAAATTTCACAATGGTTTTCTGATCTATTGACTTTATTTGTATTTTAGACTTTGGTTCAAGTAGAAATTAGATTATGCTCTAGGTTCTAATTTTGTATTTTATAATTGTAGAACTCTTTCTTTAAATGAATTCTTACTTGGAATCTCCATATATAAAAATCAGTAGAAAAATCAGTTTTCTGGTGGTCTGGAAGAAATTGTGTTCAGGGGCCACTGGGAGCTCTGAAGAAGTACTAATGAATCTTAACGTTTCCTGGAACACATTTTGAAAACCACTGAGCTCTATTAAAATATTTTAATGAATACTTTTGTTACATTTTATAGAGAATAGGTACTGAAATGTTTATTACTCAAGTAATTGTTTATCTTACTTGACTAAGAAGCTTTTTCATCCATACTGTTTTATTTGAGTAAAGAATATTAAGTGTAAGCAAATAGGACTTATGCAAAACAAATTATCAGAAATATAATATTGGGGATATTTTTGAATGGAATTTGTAATTGCTTCAGTTTTTTCTCATGCATTTATAAATTTTGTAAACTTTATTTCTCCTTTTTATTTAGATGAATAATACTGCAGCTAGCCCAATGTCTGCTGCCACTTCAGGTAGTGCAAGAAGTACAGGAAAGGCTATAAGCTTTGCAGCAGAATTGCAGAGTATGATGTAAGTATGTCTTTGCATGCTATTACTATTTAAAATTTATTTGTTGAAGAAAGATAATAGAAATAAAATTTATAAAATGTAACTTGTAAGTAATGTGTGTTTAAGCAAGTAAAAGTGAAAAAAATCTCTTAACATTTTAAAGAGCCGTGTGCACAAGAGGCAAAATTGGATAAAAAAAAGCTATAAGGGGGTACTGTATTTGAAAAATGAATGTTGGTGCATCTTTTTAAAGATAAGATCATGTAAACACATTTTTTGTAATTATTATCTGCCTTAATCTGTTATGGATTGTTTATTGCCACATTAGTTTTAGATTTAAAAAATTTTAAGACTGAGTATATATTTGGATAGTCAAAGGTTTTCAAAGTTCTTAGTTTCTTTCAAATGTCATAACTTTGTGAACCTAGCTTAAATTAGTTTTTAGTTTTGATATTTGAAATCACTATTTCAGAATGTTGAGGAAAATTTGAAACATTTATAAACATATTTATTCAGTCTTTGAGAAATTGCACATTCATTTATATTTCTTTCCTAAGGCTCTATTTAGGTTGATTTTTGGCTTTGAGCATTGAATGAGACTACGTATTTTGATTTGTGTTGCATTTATTAGAAAACTCTGTTGGCACTTACTGGTTTTTCTTTTTTATTGTTTCAAGAGACTAAGTTTATATTATATGTTTTATATATTATTGGTTCATTGACTAACTTTATATTTTTAAAGTTTTAATGTGGAAATTTCCTAACTCTTATTAAAATTATTATCTGCACAAGACTGGGGCAACATTACAGTTATTCTTTTCTGATGATTCACCAGGCAGTTTAAAAGAATATGTAAGTTGAAGGTTTAAGTATCTTCCTCCTGTGGGTATTGATAGGCTTCATGGTGGACTAATTTCACTGTGTGATGGTTATTGTTCAAAGGTGAAATAAATTTAAATATATATCTTGTGGTTGCTTGTTGAACATACTTCAAACAACACTGAAAATATTTAGGTCATAATTTCTCAGATTTTTCTGGTCTGGGGATCTCTTTATACTCTTTTTTTTAAAATTTATTTTTCAGTTTTCGGTGGACACAACATCTTTATTTTATTTTTATGTGGTGCTGAGGATCGAACCCAGCGCCCCGTGCATGCCAGGCGAGCACGTTACCACTTGAGCCACATCTGCAGCCCCTCTTTATACTCTTAATTATCAAAGACCCTAAACATTTATCTGGGTTATATTTGTAAGTATTTAGTTCTTTGTATTTAAAACAGAAAGAGCTGGGCACTGTGGCACCTGCCAGTACTCTCAGTGACTTGGGAGGCTGAGAGAGGAGGATTGCAAGTTTGAGACCAGCCTCAGCAACTTAGCAAGGCCCTAAGCAACTTAGACCTTGCCTCTAAATAAAAAATCAGAACCACATCTGTTTAAGTGCCTCTGTGTTTAGGCCTCAGTACCAAAAAACAACAACCCTCCCAAACAAACCCCCAAACAAAAACAAAACAGAAATTAAAAAAATTATACATTTATTTAGAAAGTAATAAACATTATTTTTTAATGCAAATAATGTATTTTTTCAAAAATTGATAACACTTATTAATATGGAAATAAATTAAACATTAGTGTATATTGTGAGCTTATTTTTTAAATTGTGGAACATTTTATTATAATTATATAATCTTTTGTGGATTACTTTAAGTTTTTTCATTATAGTTTAATGGCTTTTTGTTAACCATCTTATGTTAATTATGTTTAAAAGTATTAAGACTCTTTTTAGAAGGTCTTAAATAAGGTCAGGAAATAAGGTGAGGAAATTCATTTTCCTGTAGAGCAGGTTCATTGACTAACTTTATATTTTTAAAGCTTTAATATGGAAATTTTCAAAATTTTAAAATTATAAAGCATAGTATAATGAACTCCATGTATCTGTTGTCTGGTTTTAACAATAATTGTCTTATTTAACCTTTCTCCCTACTCTTTTTTTTTAATGAAGTATTTTAAAGCAAATTCTAGGAATTTTATTTCAGAATTCATAGTATATATTAAAACAATATATCTCTGAGTAGATTATAAAAAAGACGACCTAAGGGTTCAGCAAACTACAGACAAGGATTTGTTGTTGTTGCTGTAAATAAAGTTTTATTGGACTACAACCATACACTTATATGTTGTCCATTGCTACTTTCATGCTACATAGCAGAATTGGGTATTTGTGACAGAGACCATATGGCCTCTAAAGCTGTAAATATTTACTATCTGGTCTTTTACGGAAGCAGTTTGATGACCTCTGATCTATGAAATCAGCTCTCTATAAGAAGAAAGCTGTAGAGTAATGTTTCCTTTTGTCATTTATAGTTAGGAAAGGTTCTCCTTAATGCATTTGATGGACCTCAGGCCATTTAAGAAACTGAAGGGAGAGAAAAAAGCTAAATTTAGTACTTTCTTATTAAACACTTTGATAAACATCTTCCCAACTAATGTACCTAAGTTGGATTCAGAATGCAAAAGTTATTGTTGGCTACAACTCTGGAAGAAATGTACATTTTTCTTCTATTTCAGACCTTATAGAGAGGCTACTCTTAATAGTTAATATTCATCATTTAGAGTCCGAAGTTATTTTTTTCCCTTTATGAATTTCTTCACAGAAAGGGAAATAGGGCCAAAATTAGGGGAGTCTTTTAAAATTTATCAATATTTTCTATTGGTATAAGATTTTCAGGTTTTCAATTTTATAAAATTAGAATCAATGTACATTTGATCATTGTTTATTATGCTTTTTTTCAGATGAGAAAGTACAGACTTAAGCAGTTGTGTTTGTGTTATAGGAATTTCATTCTCAGAAAGTATAGACTTAAGCAGTTGTGTTTGTGTTATAGGAATTTCATTCTCTGTATCCTTCCTTTTCTGCTGCTATTTCATAATTCTTGTAAGCCTGTTGATATTGCTGGTTTTCACCCTCTACTGCTACTTCTTCTCTGTCCCCTCATTGTTAAAGAGCTGTTTTCCTTTTGATTTTCTTCCCTCTAATTGAGGAACAATTGGTTAGTGTTATTTCCTGGGATTGGTTTCACTGAAAGGTATTACCACCGAAATTGTCTTTTCTGCTATTGAATGTAGATCTGGTAGCCAGTCTGTTCTGTTAGGGCATTATCATATTTTAAATTTAAGTAGTAAATAACACCGGTGAAGCATTTTTTAGAAATTGCTTCTACAGATTTTAAACTAAAGGATTGTAGTAAAACAATTATCAGTGGCTTGGGATGACAGTAGCTGTCTCTTACCTTATATAGTTTATATAACTGAGCACATTTATGATGGAACTCCTTATCACAGTTCTTTGAATAACATGGATAGGGTCCAGAAGTTTCTTTAAGTTACAGAAGTTAACCTATTCAATCTCAGGTTTTCAGTTCTGTAAATATTTCGATTAAATGGACACAGGTACATGAGAATAGGTTGTAAATAATAATCTAGAGCTTATAAATATTATTACTATTTTATTATGTTCTTACTGTGATTATATTTTGATTATATGTTATATACTCAGTTTTTATAGGTGTTCCACATCTGGGACAGTGGGTCAAAATGGATGTAAATTAAAAGGCGAAATCTTGGGGCTGGGGTTGTGGCTCAGTGGTAGGGCTTTTGCTTCACATGTGAGGCACTGGGTTTGATTCTCAGCACTGCATATAAATAAATGAATAAAATAAAGTTTCATCAATAACTAAGAAAATACTTTTTAAAAAGTAGAATATTTTCAGTTAACATTGCAGGTATTTTTAATGAACTTCTTAAGAATTTTAATGTACTTCTAGAGTCTTCATTAGGTTCTCTCTCCCTTATTTTATCCATTAATCAATTTTCTGCCTTGTTATGTATTTGTTCAGACTTATAGGCCTCGTGATGATGTCAGGTTTTGTTGTTTGGAAGCACTTTCTCTGACCAAATTAAAAGAAAAAAATTATTTACCTATTAAAAGAATTCTTTAAAATGAAAAATTCATTCTTACTAAAAATCACGGAGTGAAAAAAATTTTGAACCATTTTTTTACATTTAGTAAAATTTACAATTGTATAGTTCTACAAGTTTTGCATTTTTAAAAATCAAAATTTATTGAGTTCTTATTATATGGTAAGGTTTAAATTTCTTCAAGAAGCATGTATTCTCACCCTAGAGAAATGTATATAGACAACCAATTGTCATGAAATAACGTGAAAAATTTCATGGTAGTACAAAGAAGGAAGTGATCAACTTTTCTGGGGATGAGCTCTACAGTTTTAATCTGTACTTGTAATTATTTCCTGGAATATCTTGAAGTATTCTGTGAGTAGTACCACAAACATAGTATGTTCACAGTTGAACTAAAAATTTTCCTAGTAAGAGTTTTGTCTTTTGGGAATTTTTGGGATAAATAGCAACAGTTTACCCTTTGCTTCACTGTATTAGGGCATTTTTGTATATTACAGTATCACTCACATATTCAGTTGGCTCTTCATAGAATTATGAAGTTAAGAGCTGTGAAAGAATATACACCCTGTTTGTTCTTACCTTAATCTGGCTTTAAAGAACCCTTATATGTACATATCTGAATTATTAATAGATGGCTTTTAAACTGACATAGACTTCCGTCAAATATTGTTTCCCTAGTACATTTAATTAGTTTTACAGAAACTGAAAGAGAAACTCATGAAGATAAGTTGTGTTAATATTGATATGTTTTAATAAGATGCTTTCCTAATGATGATAAATGCTTGTGGAGCATTCTGTGAACCAGACATCTTGTGAGTGCTTCCACATACCATTTTATGTCATCCTTACACAACCCCATGAAGATAGATGCTGTTATTCCCCTTTTGTAGATGAAGAAGTTGAGACACAAAGATGGACTAACTCACTAAATATTACTCTGTAGTCAGTGGACAATCTTGGATTAAAGCCAGAAAATTTGATTCTAGAGTCCACGTTCTTAGCATATAACCTAAACTATATTTCAATTAATAAAATTTTTAATTTGA